AGCAAAAGTAGCGAAAAAGTAGCGAAAGTAGCGAAATTTTAGGCTAAAAAGTAGCAAAAGTAGCGAAAAAAGTAGCGAAAGTAGCGAAATTTTGGGCTAAAAAGTAGCAAAAGTAGCGCAAAAGTAGCGAAAGTAGGGAAATTTTGGGCTAAAAAGTAGCAAAAGTAGCGAAAAAGTAGCGAAAGTAGCGAAAAAAGTAGCGAAAAAGTAGCGAAAAAAGTAGCGAAAAAGTAGCGAAAGTTGCGAAATTTTGGGCTAAAAAAGTAGGGAAAAAAGTAGCGAAATTTTGGGCTAAAAAGTAGCGAAAGTAGCGAAATTTTGGGCTAAAAAGTAGCGAAAGTAACGAAAAAAGTAGCAAAAGTAGCGAAAAAGTAGCGAAAGTAGCGAAATTTTTGGCTAAAAAGTACCGAAAGTAACGAAAAAAGTAGCGAAAGTAGAAATTTTGGGCGAAAAAGTAGCGAAAGTAGCGAAATTTTAAAAAGTAGGGTAAAAAGTAGCGAAAGTAGCGAAATTTGGGGCTAAAAAGTAGCAAAAAAAGTAGCGAAAGTAGCGAAGTTTTGGGCTAAAAAGTAGCAAAAGTAGCGAAAAAGTAGCAAAAGTAGCCAAATTTTTTGGCTAAAAAGTAGCAAAAGTAGCGAAAAGTAGCGAAAGTAGCGAAATTTTGGGGTAAAAAGTAGCGAAAGTAGCGAAAAAAGTAGCGAAAGTAGCGAAATTTTGGGCTAAAAAGTAGCGAAAGTAGCGAAATTTGGGCTAAAAAGTAGCGAAAGTAGCGAAAAAGTAGCGAAAGTAGCGAAATTTTGGGCTAAAAAGTAGAAAAAAGTAGCGAAATTTTGGGCTAAAAAGTTGGGCTAAAAAGTAGCGAAATTTTGGGCTAAAAAGTAGCGCGAAAAAAGTAGCGAAAAAGTAGCGAAAGTAGCGAAATTTTGGGCTAAAAAGTAGCGAATTTTAGCTAAAAAAAAAGTAGCGAAAAAAAAAAGTAGCGAAAGTAGCGAAATTTTGGGCTAAAAAGTAGCGAAAGTAGTTTTGAAAGGCTAAATTTTGGGCTAAAAAGTAGCAAAAGTAGCAAATAAGTAGCGAAAGTAGCGAAATTTTGGGCTAAAAAGTAGCAAAAGTAGCGAAAAAGTAGCGAAAGTAGCGAAAGTGGGCTAAAAAGTAGCGAAAAAAGTAGCGAAAGTAGCGAAATTTTGGGCTAAAAAGTAGCAAAAGTAGCGAAATTTTAGGCTAAAAAGTAGCGAAAAAAGTAGCGAAAGTAGCGAAATTTTGGGCTAAAAAGTAGCGAAAGTAGCGAAAAAAGTAGCGAAATTTTGGGCTAAAGTAGCGTAAAAAGTAGCGAAAAAGTAGCGAAAGTAGCGAAATTTTGGGCTAAAAAGTAGAAAAAGTAGCGAAAGTAGCGAAATTTTGGGCTAAAAAGTAGCAAAAATAGCGAAAAAGTAGCGAAATTTTGGACTAAAAAGTAGCGAAAAAAGTAGCGAAAGTAGCGAAATTTTGGGCTAAAAAGTAGCGAAAGTAGCGAAGCGAAAAGAAGCGAAAGTAGCGAAATTTTGGGCTAAAAAGTAGCGAAAAAAGTAGCAAAAGTAGCGAAATTTTGGGGTTACAAAGTAGCGAAAGTAGCCCAATTTTGGGCTACAAAGTAGCGAAAGTAGCCCAATTTTGGGCTACAAAGTAGCAAAAGTAGCCCAATTTTGGGCTACAAAGTAGCGAAAGTAGCCCAATTTTGGGCTACAAAGTAGCGAAAGTAGCCCAATTTTGGGCTACAAAGTAGCAAAAGTAGCCCAATTTTGGGCTACAAAGTAGCAAAAGTAGCCCAATTTTGGGCTACAAAGTAGCGAAAGTAGCCCAATTTTGGGCTACGAAGTAGGGAAAGTAGCCCAATTTTGGGCTACAAAGTAGCGAAGTAGCCCAATTTGGGGCTACGAAGTAGCGAAAGTAGCCCAATTTTGGGCTACAAAGTAGCGAAAGTAGCCCAATTTTGGGCTACGAAGTAGCGAAAGTAGCCCAATTTTGGGCTACGAAGTAGCAAAAGTAGCCCAATTTTGCGAAAATTTTGTGCAATTTTAGCAAAAGTAGCCCAATTTTGGACTACAAAGTAGCGAAAGTAGCCCAATTTTGGGCTACAAAGTAGCAAAAGTAGCCCAATTTTGGGCTACAAAGTAGCGAAAGTAGCCCAATTTTGGGCTACAAAGTAGCGAAAGTAGCCCAATTTTGGGCTACAAAGTAGCGAAAGTAGCCCAATTTTGGGCTACAAAGTAGCGAAAGTAGCCCAATTTTGGGCTACAAAGTAGGGAAAGTAGCCCAATTTTGGGCTACAAAGTAGCGAAAGTAGCCCTATTTTGGGCTACAAAGTAGCGAAAGTAGCCCAATTTTGCGAAATTTTTCCGCAATTTTAGCAGAAGTAGCCCAATTTTGGACTACAAAGTAGCGAAAGTAGCCCAATTTTGGGCTACAAAGTAGCAAAAGTAGCCCAATTTTGGGCTACAAAGTAGCAAAAGTAGCCCAATTTGGGGCTACAAAGTAGCAAAAGTAGCCCAATTTTGGGCTACAAAGTAGCGAAAGTAGCCCAATTTTGGGCTACAAAGTAGCGAAAGTAGCTCAATTTTGCGAAATTTTTGCGAAAATTTTGCGCAATTTTAGCGAAAGTATCCCAATTTTGGGCCACAAAGAAGCCCAATTTTGGGCTACAAAGTAGCGAAAGTAGCCCAATTTTGGGCTACAAAGTAGCGAAAGTAGCCCAATTTTGGGCTACAAAGTAGCGAAAGTAGCCCAATTTTGGGCTACAAAGTAGCGAAAGTAGCCCAATTTTGGGCTACAAAGTAGCGAAAGTAGCCCAATTTTGGGCTACAAAGTAGCGAAAGTAGCCCAATTTTGGGCTACAAAGTAGCGAAAGTAGCCCAATTTTGGGCTACAAAGTAGCGAAAGTAGCCCAATTTTGGGCTACAAAGTAGCGAAAGTAGCCCAATTTTGGGCTACAAAGTAGCGAAAGTAGCCCAATTTTGCGAAATTTTTGCGCAATTTTAGCGAAAGTAGCCCAATTTTGGGCTACAAAGTAACGAAAGTATCCCAATTTTGGGCTACAAAGTAGCGAAAGTAGCTCAATTTTGGGCTACAAAGTAGCGAAAGTAGCCCAATTTTGGGCTACAAAGTAGCGAAAGTAGCCCAATTTTGGGCTACAAAGTAGCGAAAGTAGCTCAATTTTGCGAAATTTTTGCGCAATTTTAGCGAAAGTAGCCCAATTTTGGGCTACAAAGTAGCGAAAGTAGCCCAATTTTGGGCTACAAAGTAGCGAAAGTAGTCCAATTTTGGGCTACAAAGTAGCGAAAATAGCCCAATTTTGGGCTACAAAGTAGCGAAAGTAGCCCAATTTTGGGCTACAAAGTAGCGAAAGTAGCCCAATTTTGGGCTACAAAGTAGCAAAAGTAGCCCAATTTTGGGCTACAAGGTAGCGAAAGTAGCCCAATTTTGGGCTACAAAGTAGCGAAAGTAGCCCAATTTTGGGCTACAAAGTAGCGAAAGTAGCCCAATTTTGGGCTACAAAGTAGCAAAAGTAGCCCAATTTTGGGCTACAAGGTAGCGAAAGTAGCCCAATTTTGGGCTACAAAGTAGCGAAAGTAGCCCAATTTTGGGCTACAAAGTAGCGAAAGTAGCCCAATTTTGGGCTACAAAGTAGCGAAAGTAGCCCAATTTTGCTAAATTTTTGCGAAAATTTTGCGCAATTTTAGCGAAAGTAGCCCATTAATTAATGAACATAAGTTCATTAATTAATGAACATAAGGAAAAGTTCCTTAATATAAAGAAAAATGTAATAGGACTTGTGTGTGTTTAATGAGAGTTTGTTAAATAATCTACTTTGTTTTGTAATTTGTTACTTACATTATTAATGTAAGAGATGTTTTAATCTCTTTATGGCCGATTATACTTCTGGGACCTCTTCCCAAAGTATTTTGGTTGACCGAAATTTAAAAAAAAAATAAAAATAATTATCCTTTTGTATTAGATTAAGGATGCAAAAACTTAACCTTCCTAGGCCCAATATACATTATCTGAAGTCTAGAAAATGGAGTTTTATTACATTCAATGCTAGTTTTTTGTTGAGAAGTTTACATTTTTTCCTTGGCAATTTGGATTTTGTTGGACTAGATTTTTTTTTTTTTTGGGGGGGGGGGGTGTTTGGATCTTTATTTTTGAGCTTTATGGATTTTTTGTTACCTCAGGGGGTAATGAATACAATATACAAAGATATTGTATCTTTGTATATTGTATCCATATCCCTGAATGCTAACTTGGCCCAGTGTCTAACAAATGGAGCCAATTAATTCAGGTGGGCAACAGTGAATCTGAACAGTTTAACCCTACCCAAGAAGTCGGTCACAACTGCTGGGTACAATGATGAAGAAACCAGTGCAGTCTTAACTGCATTGTAAATCCTGGATAAAGCAATCCACTGGGCCCTTACCCCCCCCCCCCACCCATCCCCAAAAGTCCTTGATCTGACAGTTATGTACAAAATATATTATAAATGTAATTTGAAGAGAGATCCCAGGCCTTTTCAGTGAGAGGTCAAGTAATTATCTACAGCTTTCATAAACAATATGGCAGCAATGGGCTTCTAGAGTCAAGGGACCCCTAGGCCATGAATCCAGTAAATTATTTAAAATCAAGTCCAGTGCTTAAGCATTCAGATGGCACTATAAGGAACAGGGAATATTCATGGATCATTCATGGACCTACATGAATGGCAAAGATATGAAGTTGTATTTCTTTTGTGCATCATCACAGCATGCTCAAAGAGAGCCCACTCACCATATCAAGATGAGAGGGGACTTGATAGTGAACTTTTCACCTCGAGTAGAAAGTTCATTATCAAATTTAAAAGTATTTGGTTAAACAGCATAATATTTGTGCAATATTTATTTGTTACTATTGCTATTTAATATCTGTCTGAAATATATAAGCTTACCAGTTTACACACATTACACCTTTATGAAGGAATATTAATAAAACAATCTATTCCACATTTTATTTAAGCTCTTAGCCTCTGTAAAGAATGTTAACAAATGATTCCATTGAAATCTTTAAGGTCAAGGTAAGTTTATTGTGATTTAAATATGATAGTGAGGCACTTGGTGGTGGTGATATTCTGCTTACACTCCATGCCCCTGAACTCTTAAACAGTGTTTGACTTTGGTAAGTACTTAACAGGTATTTATTATGGCGAGTCTGACACGCATACACATTATTTTGTAGTTTAGTTTATCCTTCAAGCACGTTTTAAGAATTCTAGCCATGATTGTCGTAGCAGCATAGAAACAAATAAATCACATTTTTTTCACAATAATAGTACCACTTAAAAATATATTTGTGACTTGCAGGCTTTCTCTAAGGTCTGAGATCATTTTATTAAAATAATGTTTTTTTTTATCAAAATGTTTACAAACACAGCTATAGCTTGCCTATATATTTTAAATATCTTAATTTTTAAATAAATTAATATAATTTTACAATGAACTGGTGAATTTTGTCTTAAGGTCATTGGTATCCCATGATTACCAAATGGTGTTATTTACATTTATAATTAATCTTAATCTGATATGATTTTTAATTTTAATTGTATTTTAATTAATACAATCATTGTACATTTATCTTCAACAGACATGTAAAATGGACAAAATATTGCTGCAGAGTAAGGATTACTTTGCACAAATCATTAACAATTATCTGGCAAGCACACGAGAGTAACTATGTGGTCTTTGGATGTGCTAGATGTCAAAATACAGTATTAATAAGAAATATTCAGTACATAATAAGTTTTAATTTAACAAAAAATGTGTGCTGATAATCACCCAAAATTATACAATTTGGTTGTGTCATTTAGCCAATCAAATTAAATGGTGTACATAATATTAAATTGTATAAACATTGTACTCTACTAATAAAACACACACACTCAAAACCAACAGTTCTGCAGTCTGAATACTGTGTAAAGTGCCTAACAATATCACAATATTTTTCTTACTCCTCCAAGAAGTTGACAAAAGCTCTGCATGCAGCCATTCAAGTGGATGAAAAATCTGACCATTTTTTTTTAATATTATCTTTGCTTTCCGAGTTGTGCAAAAATGATGCTCATAAATCAAATAAACTTATTACTGTACATACAGTACTAAAAACAAAAAAAAACAAAAAAAGTGATGAAATGCAAATTCTTTCAATCTTTATATATATAATCTTTTACAACTGTCATCAAATAAAATATTTACATTCACAATACAAACTAATAGAAACAAGTCAGAAAATTTGCTTTCTCAAATATATTTCTGATAGAGCTTATGATTACCTGTCAACAACAGGTGTGTAATCATTTAGGGGCAGATTAGTTCATTGTCGGCATTCATAATATGACAGATTTCCAAATTTTATCAAATGAAAACCACAAATATTATCAAAATAAGGATTTAGGAAAATAATTATGAATGCCTTAGACTGCTAACCAGCTTTCGTTCTCTAACAAAAGTTATCGAACAACCTATGTAGCATTAAGGCAAAAGGTCACACGAACTTGTAATAGTTTTGTTCCAAAATATTGGAAAATAGCACATGAACTAGATATTTTTAAATTATTATGCTAAAAAACAACCAGCAATGAAACTGTAATTTATATGTTAAATAAATTATGTATAATGAAATGTAACATTGCTTTGGAGCACACATGTTAAATAGTCGTATTAATTTTGCATATATCAATTAGAATTTTATTGTATATTCTAATCACACAGAATATTACATTGAGGTTGGAAGAATCCAAGGAAGCCATGAAATACTAAGTGAAATTAATCACAAATTATGCTAAAACAGAAAGGATAATATACAGAGCCCAAGGACCACAAAACAACCTAAATGAAGTACAACTAATTCATATACTCCAAACATTTCCAAGCACCATTCAGTTTAAACAAAAACATTTATACATTTTCAAAGAGAAATCATTTATATGGTATGATCTTTGCTACATTTGTCAAGTATCGACTCAAGACAAACTAAAGTATTGCTGCAATTAAGTTCAACAAGATATACAACTACTTCCCATAATGGTTTTTGCAATTCCTGGAACAGTAACCTACAACCCGTGCTCAAAAGGTTGGACAAAATATAAAATGCATTATCACAATGGTGGAGAAAGGTCATTTGGAAGATACTAAGAATGCAACATCAACATCTTGTGATGCTGACATAGGTGTACAGAGGCAGGCGCACAACGACAAACATTTGTTATACTCACTGCATAAAAGGCACCATGTTGAGTCTTCCTGAGTAAGCTGTAACACTTGTGAATTTTATAGCCCAACTCCTGTTTTGTTTCCAACTGCTCACCAAATATTAGTGTGCAAATGTGCCCAATTGCAAGTAGGCTAACTGATATCATTATCTATTAGTAGTTTCTGCTATCTACAAAAAGTGAACATCTACAGCTTTTAGAGTATTAAAATCTGTGGCACATTTACACCTCAGTCCTGCATTAACCAACAATGATCCAGATGTTAGTTACAGTACCTATTACATTTGTGCACCTTGGTAGATAAAGTTGTGGACCCTTGCTTAGATGCTAACAGCAGCAGCAACAGCAGGAGCAGCACCAAAAGACTTTTAGTAGTATCTTGGACACCATATGATGGAGCTGTTTGAGAAACAAATGTATCTACTTGACTGTCTTCTAACTTGGAAATAGACATGACTTTCAAGTAGCAGCTGAAGCTATCCTCAGCACCCTTCTTGTGACATGTCTTTCACAACACGCAAGGACACACAACAGGGACTGTGCAAGACATTTTTGAAGACAATTTTATTTAAACCAATAATTTCTGCACGATTTAAAATCTTGCCAGAATTTAATAATATCTTCAAATATGATAAGACAGTCTTTTTAAATGTCTTTCAGCACTATTATCCCTAAATAGAAAACCTAAAAGTCTATGTCCCAGCCTGAATTGTCATCAGGTGGTGGTCCATCGGTGTCTGGTGGATACTCATCAAAGTTGCTGCAGTCCACCACAGAATGAACATTTGGGACAATAGGTGGAGCTAGAGTGCGGTTCTGCAGCCCATCCCAGTAGAAGCCTTCAAACCATCTGAAAATTTAAACAATGTGGTAAGTGGACTAAATATATTGAATATATAAACATTTAAAGAGATAAACAATGATAAGAGGAAAATTTACAGTACTGCATTACAAAACAGGGATGTGTTAGTGGTACAAAGGTACCACTCTGGTACAGAGGTTGTTAACTAAATCTGACCATACGAGGCAGATCCCCATTTGAGTTATAAAGAGATCCGAGTTATCTGAGGATATTTTTATGCTGATCCTATACTGTATTTTATAATTTTGATTTTCAAACTGCATTCACCGTGTGTCATATACCAAAGGTATAAGGCAAAACAAAGTTTTATAATTATAAATGACTGTGTAATTAAATAAGTGTAATTACCTAAGTGTAGTTACAGGATGAGAGCTACGCTCGTGGTGTCCCGTCTCCCCAGCACTCTGTCATATAATGCTTTGAAATTATTGACTTATGGCCTCCACCACCTTCTCACTTAACTTGTTCCAACCGTCTACCACTCTACTTACAAAAGTGAATTTTGTATATTTCTCCGGCAGCTTTGTTACGTTAGTTTAAATCTATGACCTCTTGTTCTTGAAGTTCCGGGTCTCAGGAATTCTTCCCTATCAATTTTATCGATTCCTGTTACTATTTTGAACGTAGTGATCATATTACCTCTTTTTCTTCTATCTTCTAGTTTTTGTATATTTAATGCCTCTAACCTCTCCTCGTAGCTCTTGTCCTTCAGTTCTGGGAGCCACTTAGTGGCATGTCGTTGCACCTTTTCCAGTTTGTTGATGTGCTTCTTAAGATATGTGCACAATACAACCGCTGCATATTCCAGCTTTGGTCTAATAAAAGTCGTTAACAATTTCATTAGTATTTCTCCATCCATGTATTTAAAAGCAATTCTGAGGTTAGAAAGTGTAGCATAGGCTCCTCGCACAATGTTCTTAATGTGGTCCTCAGGTGACAGTTTTCTATCTAGAACCACCCCTAGATCCCTTTCTTTGTCAGAATTCTTTAAAGAATTCTCACATAATTTATAGGTTGTGTGGGGTCTATGTTCTCCAATTCCACATTCCATAACATGGCATTTATTCACATTAAATTCCATTTGCCAAGTGTTGCTCCATATACTTATTTTGTCCAGGTCTTCTTGAAGGGCATGACAATCATCTAGGTTTCTTATCTTCCCTATTATCTTAGCATCATCAGCAAACATGTTCATGTAATTCTGTATTCCCACTGGTAGATAGTTTATGTAGACAATGAGCATTACCGGTGCAAGAACTGAACCCTGTGGTACTCCACTCGTAACATTCCTCCAATCCGATACCTTGCCTCTGATTACGGCCCTCATTTTTCTGACAGGAAATTTTTCATCCATGTTAGTAGCTTACCTGTCACTCCTCCAATATGTTCCAGTTTCCAGAACAACCTCTTATGGGGAACTCTGTCAAAAGCCTTTTTTAGGTCCAGATAGATGCAGTCAACCCAACCATCTCTTTCCAGTAAAATCTCTGTGACTCGATCATAAAAACTGAGCAAGATCATTACACAGGATCTTCCAGATCGAAAACCATACTGTGTCTGATATTATATCGTTTTCCTCCAGGTGTTCTACCCATTTAGTTTTAATTATTTTTTCCAATATTTTGACTATTACACTTGTCAATGATACAGGTCTATAATTAAGGGGGTCTTCCCTGTTTCCACTTTTGTAGATTGGAACTATGTCAGCCTTTTCCCACACATCAGCTACAACTCCTGTACACAGGGATGCCTGAAATATCAGTTGAAGTGGAATGCTGAGCTCAGGTGCACATTCTCTCAGAACCCATGGTGAAACTCCATCTGAACCAACTGCTTTGTTCTTATTTAGCTCCTTGACCATTTTTTCCACTTCTTCTCTAGACACCTCTATGTGCTCTATGTTGTTCTCTGGAATTCTTATTGTATCTGGTTCCCTGAAGATTTCATTTTGTACAAACACACTTTGGAACATTTCGTTTAATGTTTCACACATTTCCTTTTCATTTTCCGTGAATCTATTTCCCATTTTCAACCTCTGAATATTATCCTTTACCTGCAATTTGTTGTTTATGAATTTATAGAATAGACCTGGTTCTGTTTTACATTTGTCTGCAATCCCTTTTTCAAAATTTCTTTCTGCCTCTCTCCTCACTGCCGTGTAGTTGTTTCTTGCATCTTTGTATTGCTGGCATGTATGGGGGTTTGGCCTCTTCCTGTATTGATTCCATTTTTGTGTCTTTTGGTCTCTGGCCCTCTCGCAATTTCTATTGAACCAATCCTGTTTCCTAGTTCTGCATCTCTGTTTTGGTATAAATTTTTTTGTGCCTTTATCATATATTTCACAAAACTTGACATATCTCATTCACTTCCTTGCCTAGCATCAAGTCTGTCCAATTATACTCACTAAAAAAATTTCTAAGGTCGCCATAATGTCCTCTCCTGAAGTCAGGTTTTTCAACTGCTTCAACCTCCTTATTTTCTTCCAGATTATAACGCATTGCATACTTTATTCCCAAAAAGACATGGTCACTTTTACCCAAGAGAGGAAGGTACTGAATGTCAAATGTCTCTTCCTCCTTCCTGGTAAATATCAAATCTAGCATGGAGGGAACGTCCCCTTCCCTCATCCTCGTAGCTTGTTTAACATGTTGATACAAGAATGTTTCCAGGATGAGGTCTACAAATCTACAGGTCCAAAAATCTTCTGTTTTAGCTTCATATGCTTCCCAGTCTATGGATTTCAAGTTGAAGTCACCGACTATCAACAGTCGTGATCTATCGTTATCCGCTCTCGCAATAATCTCTCTCATTATTGTTATAAGACCTTCTCGTTTACTATCTAGCTCCTCCTTTGACCATGTGCTGCTTGGCGGTGGACTATATGCATTTATGATCATTAGTTTATCATCCTTATGGCAGATCTCTAGTGCTATTATATCAACTTCTTGTGGATTGGCAGTCATTATTTCCTTCACCTTTAGGTGTTCTTTCACCAGCACAGCAATGCCACTGCCTTTCCTAATTTTTCTGTCCTGTCTCCAAATTGAGTAGCCCCTTGGGAATATGACCTCATTTAAAATAACATCTTCAAGTTTTGTCTCCGTGAGTGCAACAATGTCTGGTGTCTGCAGCTGTATTACATCACTTAACTCCAGTATCTTCAATCTCACTCCATCTATGTTGGTGTATGCAATCTTCAGGAACTTGTTCCCCCTCTCCTTATTCTTCACTCCCCCCCTCTCTACTGATTTTGTTGGTTTGCCTTTATGTACCACTTTACTGGTCTGCCTACCCCTATCACTTTGTAGAAAAAAAGAATTAAGTTCTTCTTCATTCCTGCTCATTTAAACGTTTTGCCTCGGCGAGGTTCAGTTTCAGCTTCTCTCTGTCTTCTTTTGAAAGATCTCGTCTTAACGACCACCCTTTCCCATCCTCATCACTTTGTAATTTTCTAGCATTCCTTAGTACTTCCATCTGTTTGGTACCGTTTAGGGTGATCCTCAAAGGTCGATCTTTCCCTTTTACGTATCTGCCTATTCTCCTGTAGTCGCACACATTCTCTATGGTAGTAAGACCTTCTACGAGGCCAACAATTTTATTTACTGCTTTCGCTTCTTCTACAGCTCTTTCTGACCTAGATGTTATCTCCTCCTCTTTGCAACCAAAGATTATCAGGGACTTACTCCGATCAACTGTGTTTTGCACCAACTTCGGGTTAGATGCCAATTCCTTTCTCACTTCCAGCCTAATGTTTGTTTTATCTTGGTTGCTGCAGTGTTTGGCTTCCTTTACTGCTTCTTCAATTTTTTCCTTCTCCTTGGCCACTTGTGCATAGGTGAGTTGCATATCTTTCTTGCACTGTTCTATTCCCTGTGTAACTTCCTCCATCTGTGCTGACAAAAGCTGTTTTTCCTGATGAATTTCCTTACCTAACCTATTGTAGTCATTTATGTTTAAGTTTGCTTTAACTTCCAAAGCTATTTTTAAGAGTTTATTTTCCTCTTCCATGGCTTTGCAATTTGTTTCCAATTGATTCTTGTCCTTGCACAAGTCTTTCACTAAACTCTCAGGACATAAAACTTTGCTATTCCAATGGTCATTACTTTCTTTCAATTTACTAATTATTTCTACATGAGAGTTCACTATAGTATCTAATTTTACCAACTTGTTATGTAGACTGCTAATATCAATGCTTTCTTCATTGAATCCCACAAAATCAAGCTCTGTTTTGTTTTTCCTCTTGCCGGCAGCCATCTTGAATGTTCTTCTCTGCACCGAGTGTGTGTGGCACCATACAGGTGCCTGTGGTAAAGTCACACAGAATACTTAGGCAGTGGCACTTTTCTTAGTTTACTCTAGGTCACAGATGATTTCAATCTCACTGTCCCCAAATGTTACCTAATACCAGTCTGTTTCATTCTGGTGATTCACAGACTTTTGTCACCCTTGATGGCTTCAAACCAATAGTGTCAGAGTCGCAATTCTAGGCGAGTGCTGGTATACTGAATCAGACACAGAGGGGGTAACTTGATGGCAAGGAATAAGCCGAGTGTTCTTGTCAATTGGCCAATAGAACGACATATCAACCACATACAAGGTTCCTCACAAGAATGTCGGTGCTGGCCTCTGCAAGGTTATAACACCCCCAGGACTACAAACTAACCAATGGTGTCACAGCACAGAAGCCGGATCCAATGATATTGGCCCCTACATGATGGGTAGAAGTGTGGTTCCCCTTTGCGACGATTGAGGTTGACCCAAAAGATCAAGGCTAATTTCTTCTACCTCAGTGGCATCCCCTCTTCCACTGCTTGGCACCTTCCAAACTGTCTTCTCTGTCTCATTGCTATGGCATATATCCTTAATTTGCCCTACCCAATTTCCCCCTAGGCATAGGAGCGGCCTCCTCATAATCCATGTATTCCTGGGTATGTTGGCATTCCAAAGACATAAAAGTCTTCCATCCATGGGGAAAAAGAGATAGGCCTTGTGCACTGCTTAGTACACTGTGCAATGTAATAATAAGCCATTCAAGTCAGCTGTGGGAAAATCGAGAGATTATTCTCTCACAATTGTGCTGATCTGTGTTCTCATATATGTTCTCTGTATTCCCTCTATTTCAGCAATTTCTCATGCTCTGAAAGGTGAAAGCAAGTATCGACCAGTACTCGATTAGAATTGAATGAGTATTGTAATGGGATCCCTGGATTTGAAGGTTCTTGTAAGCCATTCTATCATATTCCTACCTGATGCTATATTTACTTGGTTATGCTCCCTAAATATTATGTCAACAGACATCATCGAGCACTTTCTCTCACACACACACACACACACACACACACACACACACACTCACCAATGACTGAGTTGATACATTAGTTTAATGTTATTGAGTGACTTATTAAAATGTCATTAAGTAACTAAGTTCTATAACCCATATTTCATTCAAGTAATTAATTCAATTTGTCGAGGACAGGCAGCCTGTGGGATTTCCTCTTAGGACACTGATACTTATTAGTAATGGTAATGTCTTCTGACAGACATAATAACATAGGATAAAAAACACACACTCGTGTATACAGTATGTGAAATTTATGTAAGGAATTTACATTCCTTACATAAATTTCGTTGATGTGACATTGATTAGACGCCGAGATGTAAGTCTCATCCTAATCACACACTCGGGGATAAAATACTCAGGAGAGTGCAAAAGACTGTGTAAATTCCTTACATAAATTTTACATATACCTGTACACAAATGTGGGTTTTTATCCTACTGATACTTACATGGAGATCTCCAAAGGTTGAACTGCTGATCCTCCCCAGGATGCAACCTCACAAGCCGACTAACTTCTGGGTACCTATTTACTTCTAAGTGAACACATTTCCTAGCATTAGGTGCTAGGAAATGTGCACAACTATTTCTGTCCTGCCTGGGATTCGAATCAGCAATTCCCGCTTGTCAGTCGTGAACAAACCCACTGTACCCAGTCATGATTCTAGCTAAGTTATCTAGAGATGATTTGATTTGATTTTACAACAGATTTGAGTTGGTGATGGTCAATTTAGAGAATGGTCAGTGTAATGTTCAGTATTAAGTGGCAAAAAAGCAAAATTCAGATGCAGTGGATTTAAATAGTAGCCAAGGGTCTAGGAGTCTATACATTCAAGCAGATGTATTCATCCCTGGCACAGTGCATAATGTACACTTGATAAAACATTGGATGTGCTGGTTTATTGAATGGTAAACCTACTTGTGCTTTTGTATGTCCTTGATGCCTCCACGCTGGTAGCCAAGGCGCTCTGCAGGATTATCTCGACACAACCGCTTAATGAGGGCATTAGCAGTTCGAGTGATGTTTCTTGGAAATTCCACTGCATCAATGCCCTTCAAGATGGAGTTGTAGGTCTTCATTGGGTCAGGCCCAGTGAAGGGAGGGGTACCTATTGAAAGAAAGCATACAAATGGAACTTTGCAGAGAAGTATTATCTTCTTGCCATAAATAAACACAACTCTCTCCAATACAGTATATACATATCAAGCTGTAAGTTTGTGAGAAACTGTTTATTAGAAATTGTACTGTAAAATAATAAAATTATGATTGAGAACAAAATTAACTTTTAAGCTTTTAATCAAGATGAATACTGTACTGTACAAACTTACAACAAATAAAGAGGTAAATATTGTAATATATACAAGATTAATATACAAGTTCAGAGTAATGAGAGGACAATGAAAAATGTGCCCACATAGGACATTAATGGGTAAAGACCACAAAATGTGTCCACATAGGACACAGTAACCACCTTTCATATAAATTCCCTTGAGGACAGGAAGCATATCGTCTGGGTATAATATTCAGGCACTGATAGGGTACACACCAGCAGCAGTGTGCACGCCGGTCAAGCAGTAGGGCGGGGGCTGGCGCAAATACACCTTTACATAATTATGTCAATGTCTTTGAATGGTTTTATGTCTAGTGATGTGCAGTCATATTATTTAGTGTATAATTTAAGGAATTTATATGGTTAAATGTTTGGAACATCATTATGCTCAAAAGATATTGTGCTCCAATCTAGTGATGCATGGAAATGATAATCTTAGATCAATAAAACAGTGTTTTTGTTATTACACACATTATATACTGTACATCTATTTATATTTTTATAAACCAAAACAAACCACTAAGTAGAAAATTCACAGGAGCCATGACCTATGCATTGGGTGTTCCCAGATGCACGCTCTAGTCGACTGCACCACGACATGGTCAAAAGTATTACAACCTGGGATACTACTGCACCCTTGAGAATTCCTGTGCATAGCACATAGGTTTGAATCCTCATCACAGCTCCTGTGGATTTTCTCATCGATATATCACGATACTGTGATAAGGGGGTGTCAGAAGTAGAATTACTAGACGATAGAGTTAAGAGTGCATTGGGGAATTGTGTGAAATCCTGGTTCAGCTAAGTAATGTGTGGTAATGAAATTTTAGCATAATAAACTACATGCTATGAGCCGACTCCAGCAGATCACCCAACAGAGCAAAATACCCAGAAATATACTATGCACAATACTATTATTACTACAAACACTGCTATTATCCAATTTCTGTCAAGACCATGAATAAGAACAATTTTCCACAAAATTATTTTCTAAAGGAACATAGGTCATTTTGCATGATGTGTAAATTTACAAAACTTGCAAATCTTGTAAACTTTACAAAACTTCTGCTTCTCTCACGAGGAGTCCACGGTTCGAGTTTCCTAGAGCCCAGGTGAATGGAATGTTTAATCCATGGAAGTGTGGATGACAATTTATTTTAAAAAACTTGGTTGTGTGCTGTGAATGTCTGCCTCCTGCTGTGATCATTATAATTAGCTTTGTGTTCACCGATATCTGACCCTTGTACATAATTTGTATTACAGTCAGGATCATTTATGACATCACAAAATAATTGCAGTTACAGTCCTTATTTTATTATTAATTATTAAGTGGTGCTGTGGCCCCAACTTGTGCAGCTGTGCTGTGAGCTCCAGCTGCATGAGCCAGCCTTGGTTGCTCTGGCAGTACCAAGGCTCACATAGCCAAGAAGGATGCAGACAATATTTTCAGGATGGTGCCTGTTTACTAAAGTCCTGAGGAACAGAATGTGAGCCCCATGTACCCGTGGGAGTTTTGAATCTTATGACATACCACCAAACATGATATGCTGGTGTGCACACTTCGTTTCCCCATAATATCATGTGTGCAGTACAGTGGTTAATGCTAGGTGACCATTTCATTTCAGGTGAAATTAAAAGTACCCAACAGATGCTATCCTGCCCATAAATTGAACCCGGGTTACTCGATTGTGAGCTGTGTTAAGCCATACAAGAAGCCAAAGATAAATTCACACTAGTAAAAAATTCACTGGAACATGTTTCAGTGTTGCCAATGGCTGCTTCAAACTACTGCATAATTAATAAAGACATTGCTCTAAATTCTACAGATGTAACAAGCAAAAAAACTAAGACAATTGAGAAAATTATTGCATTTAGTGTATGCTAAATAACAAGTATAAAATATCAAAATAAAAAATCTACTTGAATATAATAAGACATTAAGAATACTGTATGCAATGTTTATGAATGTTTACCTGTTAAAAGTTCGAACATAAGGACTCCTAAGGACCAGTAGTCAGCTGAAATATCGTGGCCTTTGTTTAAAATAACTTCAGGAGCCACATACTCTGGTGTGCCACAGAATGTCCAGGTTTTCCTTCCAACCTGTAAACAAAAAAATGCAAAGATGAAATGCAATAAAAATGAAATATGCTGCAATCTTTCCTAATAAAGCTCATTACATGATTTACGTTGGTTGGTACATCTTTCAGACATTGTATAAACTATAATAAATTATACAAAATAAACTAGATTAAAAGAGAGGCATTCAAGTCAAGCATAATACTTCAAGATGTAGCTTTTCCCAACCAAAGATGTACATGTATTTTATTCTAAATACTGTACTTATGAGCAGTGACAAATGGAGGGAGTATGTGGGTGCATGGCATATACCTACTTCTCAATTTCCAGAGCTTTTCATGCTCAATTTCTGTACTAAGAAAGACATATTAGCTATTTTGTCAAGTTTCTATAAATTAAATCGACTTATTTATTTGTTATATTTTTGGATGGACCCCTCCCCTCTCCCCCATTATCATCCCTGAGCATAAATCTCCAATTCAGCCTTAGCAAAAAACCTCACAAAACCAATATATATAGTACAGTACTTATTTCTCAAAACTCATTTCCATTACTGCTTATGAGGATGTATTAATCAACTCTTACAACATAGATTTAACATACAATCAACAGTTTTCAACATGATTACATGATATTTTCATCACAAAAATATATTTTGGGGGCAAGACATACCCACATTGCAGGATGTCATACAGATCGAGGATACTTATCATCCCTGAGATGATGTAATTCCTCAGTATGTAATTCCTCAGTATGTAATTCCTCAGTATGTAATTCCTCAGTATTTAGATGTAATTCCTCAGTATATATAATCAGAAATCTATGCTAACAATACAAAAACTCTAAAAGAAATCCTAACATAACCCAACTACTCTAATTAAACAGTTTCCCTATCTTTTTTTTTGCTTCATAATTTGAAGATGATACTTATCTCCTATTATATATATATTTTTTTTTTTTTTTAAGTTCTGGAGAAATCACAGGTAATAATGTCTGAGATTATAAAATCCAAGATGTCATGAAGTGATTTACCTTTTAACAAGGACTATTCATTTCATATGATTGCTGCAGGACTGTTGGAGTGAGCCATCAGTGGCTTTAAATCATGTCACGCATACATATCTTCCTGTGGTTTTCTATGACAATATACATCTCATGTGAACTTAATAGTCTTCAGTTTTAAGTGGCTGATCATTTTGACACATGGGTTCTGATAACACAATATGCATTATCCATAATATGTATGCTTACATTTTGATTTTGCAAAATATGTTGACTTGTATATTACAGGATCTCTAAAAATTTATGATGAATTATAATAAGATGCAGACTGTTCAAACTACATCTCTACACTTTATGAATGTTTGGTGATTTATTAAATAATAAAGGTACACAGTGTGATATTTGAAACTGCAACTTACAAGGACTGTATATATATTGTGTCTTCACTTTCTAGTGTGTGGTTTAGTCAACACATCAATAATCTTATCACAAGTAATTTAACAAGCTCACAACAGTCACTATACAAGACACTTTACATCTATGGCGAGTCACACAGTTACTAGTCTTGCTGCACACCCACCCAACTGGGCGGCAGCTTTACAGTCACGTGCATGCATTACCTACAGTGCAAATTTTGGATACTTCGCTAAGATTTCGGGCAGCACACTATTATGAATAAAGTACTTACACATTTCTTGGACACCATCGATGATATCTCTGAATTCCGCAATTTTTTCACATTCCAGTATATAATGACGCAAAGTATGAGAATAGTTCTGCTGACAGTTTACATTTAGTCAAATCTACATCAGCAGATGTTACAAACTCCCAGAGGTACTTGTAGCCGAGCCTAAGCCTAGCAGTGGTAACATCTAGAAGTCTGTTAACCTTATTGGATGACCCATAGACAGCAGAGAGGGAATCTGACAAATCATCAGTAAAGTAGATTTTAGATTTAGGAAAGACCTGAGTAAATACTGGTTCAGTAATAAGGGTGTTGATTTGTGGAACCAATTACTGTACCGCGTAACATAATAAAAGTAGGATCCCTTGATTGTTTCAAGCATACGTTAGAGATACTGTCTATGAATGTGATTGGGTGGATATAAATAGGAGCTGCCTAGTATGGTCCAATAGGCCTTCTGCAGTTACCTTCATTCTTATGTTCCTTTGTTCTACGTAGGACATGTATATGAGTGGGATTGGGTGGTTATAAATAGGAGCTGCCTCGAATGGGACACTAGGCATTCTGCAGTTCCCTTTGGTCTTATGTTCTTATGTAGTTGTATACTGATTACAAATCTTATATGAAAATTCATGGAAAATCGATTTTTAGGTAATCATCTTTTCCTTTTACCACACAATAAGGGAAGCAACATGACAACAGAAATGAACATCATTTTGTGAGAACAACAAAATACATCCTTGAAATCAGTAAGTAGCCAGTCCAGCTCTGAATCGGGTGGGATGAATCTGAAGATAAGAGGAGAGAAAGGCTGAGGTGATAGACAGTGAGTGTAAACAGCACACAGGATGTCGTGGGGAACATTAAGTCTTGTCTTACTACCTGGGAAAAGGTAGTAAGTTCTTTACAAAAAATAATGACAATCATTGAAAGCAATGTGGGGATTTGAACCAGCATTCTAGTGACTCCCAGACATTTGTTCAAATCCCTGCACTCCTCCAAATAATTTTCTCATTGATGTATCATGCCATGTGATTTCTTTGTATAATAATAATAATAATAATATATTATTATTACTGTATTATTATTATAAAATCAAAATAGGAACATAGTACAGTAGTAATTAGTAACCAATATGCAAACCATTAAGGCATATTTAATTTGTATTTGAAAATTCAAGAAGAGTAGTGTACACCTAGTCTTGTGAAGAGGTGCGATGTTGTAGTGGATCACTACTGGAGTGTGGTGGTGGTTATTCTTATTCTGTTATGGATAAGTACTGTAATATGATATAGTGAATAGACAAACATCTTTTTAACAGACAACATTCTTTTCCTGTACAGCATCCCTTCATTTATCCTCAGTGATACCTTCATCTCAGGGAAGTGGCACATGGGGTAATAATGATGATGTAACACCAAATAATCTTAATAGCAGAGATACTGCCTACTAAGAGACCACACTCACCTGTAGTCTCTTTGCGAATCCAAAATCCACAAGTTTAACATATCCTTTAAGATCAAGGAGTAGATTCTCTGGTTTGAGGTCACGGTAGATGATGCCTTGAGAGTGTAAGTAGTCAAATGCCTCCACAACACATGCCGTATAGAACCTAGTTGTTGGGTCGTCGAAGTTGCCTCTGTCTCTGTAACATTAACAAAAACAAGTTTAATTAGGAATATTCAAAGACTTTAAAACAAATTAAAAAAGCAAGAAACAATAGATATAAAGCATAAACATAATTCAAATTAACCAGGGAAGTAAATGGGTTTCACTCTAGTGTGTTAGTCAGCTTCCAAGGGTTTAGTGCATAATGGACATTAATAACCCCATCTTAAGTTAATAAAGCTCAGCCAGTTTCACCATCACCCCCAGGAGTTTATGCATGGTGCCAGGTTCATTAATTAAAATGCCCTAGTTAAATACTGTACAGTATATAGTATACTTTTACTTACTAATTGATATACTGACCTATACACTATATAATCAATTTTGAAGATGAGCATTACTCTCAAGGGTTTAAATACAGTTGAGAATATAAAAAGAAAAATTATTCATAGAATTTTGTTCTCCCCTCTCATTGCCGAGTTACACTGACTGTCATTTTGAAAGCAACCAGACTTTAAAAGCAACTCAAACGTGCCATTTTAAAAGTAAATCAAACGTGACACCACCCATAATACTGTCATTATCCTTTCAACTGCAAATTATAAAAGATATATAGCATTACAACTAATACAAATTTACACAGCCATTATATTAGATATACAGCACATAGAATCTGAATGCTTGTAAGTTTTGATCAAATGCTGCACTTAACATGGACCCCTACTTTTGTATTACCTACAAATTAGGGCTTAATGATTACTGTACTGTACTATAGACATGTTTTATAAAATGGCATGTCAAATTTGTTCAAATGTAGTAGAGTTTCATGTGTACCAAACACTATATAGATCAAAATTGTTCAACAACCAAAATATTTGCAGCTAGGACCAATAATTAGCAATAATCTATAATCCATGTACTGTAGTCAAGAAAACAAAATTGAGTACATGAGCAGACAATGGAATGGCAATTATTTGTTAACATTTACGCATTTCCACATGTTAAGTAATAACTTGTGTATGCTTTAAAAAATATTTAGGAAGTTTATGATACATAAACATTAACATGATACATAATGAGTGATCCAAAATTTATTAGAAGCCTACATAAACCCTTAAATGGCTTAAAATCTAAAAGTGGCAGTGAAGTAGTGTACATGTAGACAAAACATACAAGATCATTGTCCAAATCTCCAGGGAAGGACAGAAATAGTTGGGTGCATTTCCTATCACCTAATGCCCCTGTCCACCTAGCAGTAAATAGGTACCCAGAAGCTTGTTGTGGTCTGCAGCCTGCTTTCAAAAAACAGACTGCAGAACAGTCTGCAGAGTTTGTCTATGTATACTCTAGTATCTAGAAAGGGAATTGTTTGTTCGTGAACCTCCAATGTAAATTTTAAGTTCCCATGGACTGTATATTCAGTTGAACTGAATTAGTTGCTGCTCTCCTCCTGCCATGACAGCAAAAATGTCATCACTGTATCTCAAATACATGAGGCGGTGGTCCTGTTGGCTGTAGTTCCTGGCCATTTCAAAAACAGTGTGCATAAATATCTCTGCTATTTCCATACTGCTTGAAGTCCCAATTGTCATCCCTTTGATCTGTCTATGTTTGACCATCAAACGTCACGATTGTCTCGCATAACGTGAAAGATGGCTTCCTCAAGTAGTAGTTTTGTTGGGGTCCTCTATACTCCTGCTTGTCGAAAATAAGTCCTTATTCTGTGCTTATATTGTACAAAGAAAATCTGCTACCCTCTGGCAGCTTCCCTTTGGGGAATACTGGAAATAGGGAGACCACGTCCAAGGAGAAAAGGACTGCCCCCTGTGGGACAGGCTCCCTGATAGCTTGTATCCTGTTGAAGTCCATAGTGTGCTTTACCTGTTCTGGAAGTAGTTGTAGTAGTGGGTTCAATAGGGCTGTGCAGATCTAATCTGTGGGTCTCACTGGCACCCCTGCACAGTAAAACAAATTATGTATCTTGACTAAAATACAATGATGAAAACAAGTGAAGCAGTAATTTGCATATTGACAACAAACCATGTACTAACAACCAAGTGCAAAACCAGGTGGCAAACATGGCCACCCAGGAGTCCATTTTGCCTGCTTTCTCATTCATACGTCACCCTCAAGATACACCTGATCCTCATGGAAAAGAAGTGTGGGTGCAAAAAAAAAAGGTACCAAGGCTGATCAAAGAATGGCATTTCATTACTGTTAATGTTTGACTTCTGGACTGTCTTCAAGCAACTTCCCAGCGCATACTCCCAACAACGTCTTTGAAAAAAATATTGTATTTGAGTTGAAAAACTGGTCTATTAGAGGAAGAAAAAAATTGGAGGGGGCTAACCTATGAATGAACTCAGAAACTGAATAGGCAGCCAAAGAACCCCACAGTTTTGGCAAGGATAGAACACATCCAATATATTAGCAGAGAAGGCAGTAAAAGCAGCATACTTGCACATATCATGGCAACACACATTAGGCTTTCTGAATCGATCCACTAGACAGATACGCTGAGGAAACCTGGCCATGGAACAAAGCATTAAGGAAATGGGATTGACAGAGTCACAGTTTAGGAAGTTTAGTAGTATGCATCCTGCAGTCTCGGGAAACTATGGAGTTGCGCTCTGATTGTCAAGGCTGGAGTGTCCTCTCCAGACCACAAAGCCTGGGTAGATCAATATGGAGGAGAAGCTGTTACCCATGCAGCCGGTCTCCCCTCTCTACGTTGCTGAAATTGTCCAATGGAAAGGCAAACGCCAAAATGCTTGGTTCCATAGCCATCACAGGAGCTGCTAGAATGTGTAGTTGAAGCCGGCAACAAGCTGCATTAGGAGCTCCAGCTCCGAATTTTTCCTCGAGGTTGACTCCTGAAGCCCGTCCCAAAAGTGGGTATGGCCACGAGACAGCGGAGGTTTCAGGTCAGGGTTTTCCTTCCCCTACATGAGCTGCCTTCCCAGGCTGTCAAGTCGCATCTACCTGGAGCAACTGGTTGTAAGGCGCCAGATGCACGAGCTCATGCATGAGGACACGAAGGGATGACCTGAAGGGATGCCCCTGGCATTACTCATGCAGCAGGCTGGTAGCCTTGCTGAGGGCCCTGCAGAACCTCCCGGGGGAGGACTAGGAGTCCTCCGGGGACTACCACACACAACACAACTCGAATATTATAATAATATTATAATATTGTAATATATAATAAATTATATTATAATATATATTACAATATTAAAATAATTATATATTATAATATTATATTCCAATTCAATTCCAATTCAAGCAAAAGGAGCATGTGATCAGAAAGGGGAGCTATATAAAGAGATATTTGATGGTTCAACACCACTTCCTATTATGTTAAAATTTGATGGAAACACAAGAGACCATTCTCAAGAACATTTGACATTCCCAAAAGTAGACCGCACTGGGGAATCCCTAAGAAGTCAAAACCCGAGGCTATTCTAAGGGTCTACCCTTCACTGGAAAAGAGAGCGATTTGAGCCCCCCCTGTTGGGGTAGTGGAACACCAAAGTGCAATCAGAGAGAAGCTGAATCTCGGAGCCTATCAGGAGAAGGATTCACTAAAGCACCATTCATAATGCCATAAACAACTGCTTGCATGGGAACAGCAACCCATAGCCAACATAGTAAGAGCTGGAAACAAATCCTCAGCCGAGGCCTGAGTTGCTATTAGCAACTTGGGTGGTGACGAGAGTGTGCCATTGAACAAAACCTCAAAAATCCTACAAAGGAAAATACTGGATCAAAATTTTCTGTAAGGCCCAAGAGAGCTGCACCATTATGTCCCAGTGGCAGCAGTCTCTTAATTCTTTAACTGCGCAACGCGCCTGCAGGCCCAGGCTTAGGGTGCGCTACGAGCATCCAGGTGTTTGTATTTTTCATGTCCAATTTAACACTTTTGCCCGGGCATGATGCAGCATTGCGTCATCCGTTTACTGTCGGTAATGCCGGGGATGACGCAGTATTGCGTCATCCACTTTAAATAATCGCCAAAAATCAGGTTTTTATCCGATTTTTTTGGGACTGGTTTTAAAATGCGCGCCGATGTTTTCCCATTTTCTTTGTTGAGCCTCGTGGCCTTCAGGCGGCTTGGCACACGCCGTGGGCCCATTGTTTTCGCTCCACTGTTGTGTCCAATGTCGCCTCCCCTCGCATCTCAAACGTGTGAACATTTCGGCTATTTTCCGTGGCTATATTTCTTACTGCGGCTTTAGAAACTATCTACGCTTACTCCACGATGGTTAGTGATCATGAACAAGGCCCTTCCAGGAAGAAAATTGCGAAAGAAAGGCTTGAAAAGGGCGGGAATTGGGAGTGTAGCTGGAAGGCGTCCAAGTGCTCACTCGCGGCTAACGCGTGGCCCGTCTTCAACTCGTCGGCGGTTGGAGCGTGACCAGGTTTTTTATTTTATATGCTAATGTTCCTATAGGGAATTCTATTGCGAACCCATTGAGACCAAAATGAAAGACCTAGGGCGAAAATTGAGGTGACCAGAGTGAAAATAGTGAAAACATTTTATCGCGTTTGCGCGCTCCTGGGTAACTTGTTCGCACTTTGTTTGCTGCGGGTAATTAGCCGGGCTTTTGGAGTTTATATGCATTTAGTGCTGTAGAGAATTCTATTGCGAACACAATGATACAAAATTTAATCTCGTAGGACGAGAAATAAGGTGACAAAGTTGGAGAGTATACACTTTTCAGAATTTACGCGCGCTCCCGTGACACCATGGGACCCATATCGCACAGTTGAGGGGTGGCGCGCGGGGTACGCCAAAGTGTTAAAAGTGGCACACGGTGACGCGGATATGGAATAGATGGCTGGGGGCCCCAGTGATCGTCCGCCATCTTGAAAAAAAATCCCAGCATTCCCTGCAGCCGTGGGGAGCCCCAGTTCCCAAGCAGCAACCATGTCTGACGCATCATCAACGAGCTCCCGTTCCACTGTGACCCGCGGTCATGGAAAACGACTCTGAGGAGGAAATTCGCGATATATTGTAGGATGACGGTGCTATGGATG